AAGAAGAGGAAAAACAAGAATATAATTTAAAGCCCTTCTGGACTTGGCATGCAAGATATGCAATGGATATCCTTATCTACTACAAAGAATAGATACACTCCTCAAAATCCGAAAACCAAAACAATGCATATCCACCACATAACATAAGATCTTAATTTGGAACAGTGAGGAAAAATTCCACATTCAAACCATTACCTTCTCAGCAAGATCTTTTCCAGTTTCATCATCCTCAAAAAATGATAAACTGGTGTCTGAAACATGACTTCTAATGCTTAAATAGGCTTGAATGCCAGCCATGACTCTTTCAATCTCCTCAGGAACTTGCTGAAATTAATTTTTTAGAATATAAAGAAAAGAAACAGACAGAAGGAAATGCATTTTAAACAAAGCCAACTACGCAGGTGCGGAAAGAAAATGAACCTACCAAAACCCCAATAGCGTAAGTCCCAAGAAAACTTCATGTTGATTTTCCCAAAACAGTTATCCCATCCATAAAAGTTATGATGTTCTATGTGCATGAAAGAACATACTGACTAAAAGGAAATATTTATCCAACACTAAGCAAAGCATCACCTCAATAAGTTCAGCTCCTCCCCACGGAAGACAGGATAAAATACAAGTTACATAAAAGTCGGCACATGCTTGCCAGGATGGATTGCCTTTCTCCTCATCTACTGTTGTGGCAGCTGAAGACAATAACGTCTCAAAGACAACCACCAGAGAAGCAGGTTGGAGAACTTTACTGCACATCTGCAGAACAGAAATTACAAAGTTGCCTTTATTCTTGAAAACCAAAGTGATGTACAATTACCACATATCAATGTTGTTTTACCACAGCATACAGATAACACATGTCAGCAACTTGAAAAAACCAGTAACATAGAAATAATTTGTTTATTCTCGTTTTCATTACATTACAGACCCAGAAATAGCCAAAATGGTATTGCACATACCAGAGCAGTGAGAAACCGCATCAACGTGCGAACTCTATCACAACTCCCAGAATCTAATGCATCCTGAAAATCCACCACAAACAGAGCAGGAAAAAAAACGAGAGGCAAATGAGTAATTACAGGAAAAAGATATTTGTATAAAACAATGAAAGAAATATCAATATAGGATTTCAAAAGAGGAACAAAGAAATTACAGAAGCTAAAGTCTAGCCAACCTGAAAATCAGTTTGTAAATTCTGCACTAGTTTTATAACAAAATCCTCATTCTCCAAGTTCAATAAACCAACCTGTGAAAGAGAGAAAGGAAGAGCAAATAGGAAGTATCAGTTAAACGAAAAAAGAAAAAGAGCACACGGAAAGCCATTCGAAGACTCTAGCTGATTCTCAACAGGAGGTAGAAGAGCCCTACCACTGTCCCATAGAGAGGAATCTTGTGGGGCAACTGCTCCGCACATTCGAGAAGGAACTGCCAGGAAAAAGGGAACAAAGTCAATAAACCATAGCGTAAACGCAGACGGAGGAAAGCAAGTGAAGCTTACAGCCAAAACATCGTCGGGAGAATGCTCCAGCTCACGCCGCAAAGCTCCAAAGCACGTCTCCTGCGATTTCAACAGAACGGAAACTCATCGGTCACGTTAGCGCTATGCAGCAGTTTCAGCATAAGCCGACAACAAGCACTGCTCTAAACACAGCAGCTAGGGTTTTCAAAAAGGAAAACGACACAGAAAATACAGAGACAGAAAGAGAAGTGTACAGACAATGTGATCTTTGAAGTCGGAGGAGGCGCCGTACTCGGAGCTCTTGTCGCCGATGCGGAGGAGAAAACTCTTCCAGCTCATTGTTCTCGACGTTCTTCAGCGACGCAGAGAGGTAGAGCGTGTCGAAGTGAGGGATTTACAGGGTTTTGCGATCAGTCCTGAATGAAAGAAATAGTTTTTCGAGTTTCTTTGGGCCGTAAGTTTTTGGGCTGCGATTCCTTTAATCCAGCGTTAAAAAACTACCAAGACTGAACCCAAATTTGTAGCAGCCATCCAGGCCCACAACCTAAGCCTAGTCTCTTCTTTTTTTTTTTTTTTTAGTAAGCCATGTTGTTTTCATTTTTCTTTTTTTTTTGAGAAGAATAATTTTTCTTATAAAAAATTATTTTTTTAGGTGACTTGTAGTCCTTTATGTAGGCCTGGACCATAAACATAATTTATGGCATTTTTCACTTTAAAAATCGAAAATTTTTTTTTTTTTAAAGAGTAAGGAAGTTTGTGATTTATGCAAGCTGGTAGCCAAAACCAATGGTTCAGCTTGTTTTTGGGTACACTTGTGGTTAGAGCATATGGGAGGTCCAAATCTGAAGTAAATGTGCATGTGGTTGGGCACATGTTGCTGGGCCTTACAGGGCCCAATTGGTTTCCTACATGCAGATGCGATTGGACCCTACATTTTCTTTCTCAACTGCGATGGACCATTTTATCCTCAACAGGTGCGATTAAACATGAAAGACAGCCATGTGTTCTTTGGCACAAAAGGGCAGTCCTGATATTTGCTTGAAGCAACCATAAAAAAAAAAAAATATTTGCTTGAAACACTAGGCATTATCTTGTTATGCTTTCTCCTGCTACTTGTTTCACTTGAAATCCAGGTAAGAATTACTGAAATTTCCTGTGATTCATAATCAAACTATGATTCCTGAAATACTGAATGAGGTTTTGTAATTTGGAATGTAGGCTTCTGGCACTGGAAATTCAGCTTCTCAGGGACAGAAACAAGGCAACCATGCAATGGTAAGGCCATGGTACATCATCTCTTTTAGTGTGAAAATCTGTTATGTTACCACATTAAAGTTCTGAAGTTCATTAAAATTGTAGTATGGTGCTACACAAGGCAGTCTTCATCCTCAAGGTTAGTTATGAATGAAGTAATTAGCAATTAATTAAGAATCGCAATGTTTGGTATGTTTGGATTTATTAATGTTCATTTCGATACTGCAGAATGTGCTCCAAGGTGTACTGTTAGATGCTCAGCTACAGCATATAAGAAGCCGTGCATGTTCTTCTGTCAAAAATGCTGTGCTAAATGCCTGTGTGTGCCTCCTGGAACATATGGAAACAAGCAGTATTGCCCTTGCTATAACAACTGGAAGACCAAGAGAGGAGGGCCTAAATGCCCATGATTTTTAATATTTATTTCTATGCTGCTACGTTGCCTGTAGTAATCATAATTCACCTTCCATTTAACTCCTATATGCTCTATTGATTTGTACTTTTTGAATGCGAATTAAGGATCAAGATTATGAGTGATTCTAAAACCATCAATTCTTTTTTTTTTTTTTTTTCTAGCTATACATGCATTACAAAAGCAGAAGTGCTAAAGTTGAGAAGGACTTATACGTAATAAGTAGCACATTGGAGAAAATACAGTAACAAGCCAGGAGAGAAGTGAGATCCTGACATTTATTTTCCAAACCTGAAAACCTATATCTTACAAGTAGACAACATACTTAGAACAAGGAGATGAGAGGTTCAACTTATTTAAGATTTTACATAACCTACTCATCTGTAAACATCCAAACAAAGACAGCCCTTGTGCTGATGTTTCAGAACTTCAGTTGGGAACCCAAGCAATGCTCTCTTTGGCTAGGAAATGGCAAATTGGCACAGATCCCGGTTTAACTTTCAGGAACTGAAATGCAAAATGTCTGGGGTTCCAAGTTGATGTATCTTTGTGACATAAAGCTATCGCCTTAACTTTGGTCCCATCAGAGCCAATTAAGGGAACCTTATACACATCTGTTTTATCAATTGAATGGCACAAAAACACAGCATATGGGTACTTCAACGTGTGACACACTATTTCCTTCTCTCCCATGTTCTTTACACCCGTGCCAATGGTAAACTCTCCAGTTTTTGTCTCCTTCTCAACCTCAGTTGACAGTACCTGTATATTTTTCCCCAGCCTAGAAACACTATTATCAATCAAGGACTCTAAAGATGTAGCACAGTACTTGTCTTCTCCTTCTGTGGATTCTCTCTCGCAATTTTCAATACTTTGTTTCATCACCTTGGCTCTTGCTGATTTAGGGTCCATAGAAAAAAGTTTCAATATGTCAAAGAATTTGGCACTTGAAAAAGGCATTGAATCTGTAACTGCACGAGGTAGGAAGGTTGCTTTGCTCTTTAACATCGTGACTTCTTCTAGCAACTTCATTAGCCTTCCTGCATGCAGATCACTTTCAAAGAAAAAGATATTAGCACTGCTATTTAGGAGACTTCCACTTTTCAATCCATGATTCCCGTTGAAGTCCTCTAAGTCTGCACTTTTGAATTCTGCACTTGGATTACTCTGAATGGTACAAGCTGCGCCACCAAGGACCATATCATCCTTCAACTTGACAAAATCGTTCTTGTTCACTGCATTTATTCACCAAAACAAAAGGGGAGGAATATAATGAATACATTATTTAAAAGTAACTATATATTTAAAAGTATAATTAAACTTAATAAGTTATTGTGTGACCTAACTTCTAAAACAGTTTTTCTAAGTATAACTAATCTGACAACTATTCAAGTAAGTGATGAACATTATTATATAAAATTTACGACTTTTAAAAGAAGCTCTTATTTAAACTACATTTCTTCAGTAGTTTTAACTAGAACAAGGGCAAACCAGGACGAAGAAGATCTTGTAAGCTTTTGGGCATTGGAGTGTTTGGGAGCACAGACTTCCAGTAAAGTTCAGCGGGCATGGAAGCATGACAGCTTCCCACAACACCAAGCTGCCAAAAATGTAAATCAATATTAAGTGTCATTAGCTTCTTTTATATATAAAAAAAGGAAAAACAACGCAAAAGCAGATATAATTAGTTTACAATGTTAGCTTACACAGAATAGAGCAACTATGAATTCGAAATGAAACCCCATAATTTCAAGCAAAGGCTTTAGAAACTTTACTTTGGGATGAAAGTAAAGCTCGTAGCCCGTAAGTATATATAGCCAAGGGTCCTAAACCAACATTTCCTTACCAAAAAAAAAAAAAAATCTTTGAAGAAATTATAGAGATTCCATCTGACATGTGCATGTGTGGCTGCTTAGAAAGGAGGGACACTTGAGGTGCAACTTGTGCTAATCATAAGGATAGACATTCCACTTTTATCAATAAAAAAGGCGCTGTCACAATCCTTACCCCTTATAATTTTTTTTTTTTCAAAACAGGCAATGGTTACCCCTTATGGTTATGATTTGAACCCTCGTTTCTTTTTCAGATTCCATTTTTGTCAATAAAGACGTTGCTTTATCAATTCTTATCCCTGTAATAATGATTCGAATCCTTATTTCTTCTCCCAGCTTTCTCCTCCATGAAGTTTCGTTTAGTTTAGTTGTCCTATCTCATAAAAAAAATAAAAAATCCAGTTTTACG